ATTTGTCTGACTAAACCGTTTTCCACGTAAATAACGTTTAATTCCAATTTTATGTCCCTCGAATATATCACGAAACATCACACTTCTTTTAGATTTTGCTGATGCTCTGGCCAATCCGATCGCCTATTTGAAAGTGATCGACAAGCGAAACGAAACTTTTCATAAAGTCGCTGATGAAGGGGATATTGCCAGTTGTACGGTAAGTACAACAGACCTTTGGCTACCGGTTGCACAAGCCTAATTTGGTAAAAAAAATGCTATGCGCCTTCGAGTACTGACGTCGTTTCCCTCAACAAATTGAACCATTTTTTGGACAATTTAAAAACTTTCCTAATAACCTTCCATAGAAGATGGAAAATGACTATTTTTTCTGATTTTATCGTTATTCATGCGTAGAAATATACGTTTGATATATTCAGGTGCCCAACGTTTCGATCTCCATGCTCTTCATCAGACTAATCCTGCAATCACTGTTAATATGCGGTAGGTCGAAGCGTGGCGCAGTAAAGTATAAGATTAATTTTCCTGCTTTGTGACGCTAACCATGGAAGCAGAATGCATGGTTCCTTCATGTCAGGAAAAACTGCCTGACGTTAAAGATGTCACTTAGTCCTTAAGAATCCTCAAGAGCATGTCATTTTCTGTAAACTGTTTACGAAGGCTTTCAGGAAAGATCCCGTGTGATAAAACATTGAGAAGATTGTTCATAACATATCTATGCTGCGCTAACTCATTAAATACAATATGTTGTAATGAAAAACTGTATAACAGTGTAAACAGAGGAAGTCGTGTTTCGAAATGTCTTCAGCATTTAGTTAAACATGTCAGAAATGTATTGAGTGGTACTTGACCTCAGGTCGATCCCCACTAAGGTGCAACAGTAATTTTATGATGGCACAGAATCAGTTGAAACAACTGCGATATTCCATTCCAAGTAGCAAACAATGAACTAACCCTCGTTTACTGTATGAGGTCTCGTATAAGGTCTCATTTTTACATGCCTTATTTTTGCTTGCAGAAACACGTAGGATTGCTCTGAGATTACCATACACGCGTCGGCTGTCAGTGACTCTGGCAACGCTACTCTTATTGTTATAATAATTTTTTTAAGATATAAACGATTAACCCAGTCCAATAAGACTCAGTTCAGTTTCCATTTCGGTAGAGGATAACCGGAGTATAGAACAGAGCCTTTCATTACGCTTGGTCCAGATAAATCTTAGCCGGTTCTCTGGGTCTTCTGGTCGGCTGAGCGAGCAGTTGTCGTTTTGACTTCCTTTCTGGAGGCATGAGCAACAGTGGCCAAACCATCGCAGCTGTGACCTCTCAGTCTGGAGAAGCAAAGGCGGTACACCAAGGTTCTCTCGTACATCTGTACTCTGGACGCACCAGGTCAGTGATTTGTCCCATAAAGCCCATTTAAGCCGTTTGTACCCGGGTTCAAACTTTTTCATTGACGATCCATGACTCATGACCGTAGGTAAGTATGGGAATAAAGATCGACTTGAATGTCGAGAGCTTAGTTTTCAGACTGAACTCTGCTTTAGCCACAATGGATTGGGTTAGTTCAGGCAGAACGCCACTGGCTACTCCAATTCACCGGTCGATCTCTTCCTCCAACTTTCCATCACTAGTAAATATAGTTCCGAGGTACATGAACTTCTCCACCTGCTCCACTGTTTCTCCGTTAATCTGAAGAGAACAACGGGCAGGAGAACGAGAAAGCACTAGGCTTTTCATTTTAGATGCATTCACACGCATGCCGGTCACGTCGCACTCGGCTGCGAACCTTTCTGAGGAGCACTGAAGATCAGTTTCAGAAGCAGTCAACGAACCAAGGTCGTCTACAATCAGAAGCTGTTTCGTCTTCACACCTTCCATGCTGGTATACTCATGGTCCTGGCTTTTTTGACTTTTCTAAATATGTACAACATAAACAAGAGAGAGAACATGACACAGTCATGGCGGAGATCAGAGCCCATATGAAAAGGTCTCGATTTAACGCCACTTTCTTTGACGCAATACCTGGCATCAGCATACAGTGGATGGATAGCGCGTTTTACCCTTCAGTTAAAGTATCTACAAAATCCACCGTTGGCTCCGTTGAACCGATTGATGCACAGATATTTATCTAACGAAGCTATGCCGATGTTAAATGTTTTTGCACCGATGATGATTCAGCCAAAAAAA